TTTTACATTGTAATTCAGATATTCCGTCACATTGTAAAAAGGATGTTGCTCGAAATATGATTTTATTTTGTTCTTAAATTCTGTTGATGTCAATTCCATTGTTTTATTTGATAGTTTATTGTACATTTTTATTTTTAAATAAATACCTTGTTTTATTGCTTTTGCAAGTCGTAATCTTGGTAATTCTAATTTATGTCCATTTCGTGTCATGTAATTATGGTTATCCGCCTTTTTACGCAGTGTATTGCTCTTTTCGTGTATGTCTAACAAGGAATAGTATATTAACAATGATATAGCTGTCATTATACGCTGTTCAATGAAATACGGTCTCACAGAGGTGTCTATGGATTCCGCATATAATTCTGATAGCTCTTTTTTGTTGCCTCAGGACTTTTGCTATGAGACTTGCATTACCCCAGACTGTAATACCATATAACAATGAAGACTGAAAATATGCGAAGTACATAGTTTTAGTATTTTTTTTGATAATACTTGCTTCAGTTTACTCAAAGCATAATTGGCTGATGCTAATTTATTACATAATCTTTCGATACGTGATGCATGACTTACTGTATTATCAATAGTGTATCCTAAAAATATGGTATTTTGACTATGTGTTGTCAGAACAGACAGAAGTTTGCTTCTTATGTCTGGTGGAGTAAGACATTAAAATACTTTTATCTGCATTTAATACAATACCATTCGATTGAAACCAATCATGCAGCGTTTCTACGGTGTTAGTCATCATTCTATCTAGTTCGTTTTATTTGTATTTCTTATTCCTACATATGTATCATCTGCAAATAAAGTTACAAATGCCTCTTCTGGTAAATTGTAAACATGTATAAGAAAAAGAACAGGTCCAAGTATCCGTCCTTAGACCTGTTCTTTTTCTTAAGGTTCCGACCTTGAGGAATACCAATACTAATATTCTGCATTTCTGATACTGTATTGTCATTTAACGCTACTACTCGTTTTCTGTTACTTAAATATGATTTCATTATTTTAATAGCATTATGTCTAAGTCCATAGTAATCTAATTTATCAAATAATATGTCATGTCACAAACAGTCAAAGGCTTTAGTGAGGTCACAAAAAATGCTACCGCATTTCATAGATTTATCAAGAGATTCCAGTATAAATTCAATGGTGTTAGTAATTGTCATACCTTCCTAATCTAAAACCATATTGTTTGTCTGTGAAGAGATTATTTTCCTCGAAATACTTTTCTTACATATATTTTCTTAGGGAAAGCGATATAAAAATATTTTAATCCCAAGTATAAAAATTTCAGCTTTTTTATTTGAGTCAATATAATTATTTACTTCATCATAAAAATGTTTGTTTGAATTGATAGTGAAAATAATAAGTTACTTTTAGAGAAATTACGTTGTATAAAAATATTTTTAACATCCTTTTTTCATCATTATGTTTTGATATACATGTATAACTAACTTTAATAACATTATGATCTGATATTTTATAGTCTAGAACTCAGATTTGTCACAGTGTTCCGAGTCATGCCCGCGCCCTGTGTAGTGGCGAGCCTCGGAAAACCACAGTGGTGAGTGGGCGTTACAGTCCAGAGCGATGAGGATCCTTCTTCCGCGAAGAACGTTGAGTACTCTCTCCAGGTGGTGCAGGTGGCGGTCTTTGTCGTCACCATATTGGAAGTAGCCGGACACGATACATAAGTCGGTGTCCGCTACGTGCCCATTACATAGATCCCTAACAATTGCGACTACTAATGACCTAAAGACGAGAATACCTGCCTTGGGGTTATCACCGACTTGTATGGCAAGAGGACGGTCCGCATCGGCCCAGGCTCTTGCGTATTGTTCCTGGGCGAGAACAACATCGAGGCCCAGGTCTTCCACTATCCTTGGTAGCTCACGAGTCGCCAGCTCCGACCCCTTCAGGATTATTTGTCCTATCCCTATTCCTAGTGCGCGATTATGAGCCATAACGAGTTGATTCTACAGCCCGCTGTTCGGCGTGGATTCTAGCTGGGCATACCCTATCCATAGTACCGTGCAACGCGGCGTCTTTACGGCCAAATTGGCCTGCTGGCGGATGCGCATTTGTCCCGCGCGTGTCCGGCTTCTCCGCACCTTCCGCAGGTGACGACCGAGGCCCGGCAGTATTTTTCCGGGTGGCCATATTGGTGGCACTTCTGGCAGCATGTGACGTCGATGTAGTCACCGGGAGTGACTACATCCCACCCGATGTACAGCCTCTAACAAACAGCCTAAACCAACACGTCTCGAAGGTCCGCACTACACAGTACGACCGCCGTGGTACGCCTCCTTGTTGTCCATGCCGTTCAGATTCTGCTTCACTAATCCCCCTACAATATGCTCCCATTTGTGGTCTGCGCTCCGCCGCCTCCTTGTTGGTGGTCTGCACCGCAACGCCGGCGTTACCGACCTTCCTCACCCTCTTCACCTGCACATTCAGGTCTTTAGGCCGAACCGCCTTCTTCAATACCCTCTTTGTGTCTTCGGCCGTCTTCAGCTCCGGGGCCGCCTCTTCCATAAGGTACACAAAGACGGGCCCGGAGGCGATCTGGTGCTGGCTGCGCGGGATTACCCCTGCTCTTCTGACTGAGCCGCAATGTTTTCGCGTAGCTCCGTGGTCCCGATGATGGTGCCAGCGCAGATGAGGACGCTTTCCCGGCTCCCGCGGCAGCCTTGGCAAGGGCATTCCGGAGCTCCTCGCAGCGGAGCTCGGCCCGACTCGCGTCGAGCTCAGCTTCCGCCACTCGGACGTCCATCGCCCCGACTATTGCGACTATTTCCTGCCCCAGAGCGCTGATCGTTGCCGTGACACCCTTGTTGAGCTTGCTGCCAGGACCGGTAATCATCCCCATTATTAGCGGTGGACGGAAACAATTATTCGGGGGGAACCTAAACCAGCTAATTTGGCACTAATTATTGTAGGAGGCAACATCAAAATCAGCAGGGATACCACCCTTTTTTTTTTTTTTAACGTGTGGAAAATCTTCAAAAGACCGTCACCCCGCCGGAGGGAGGGCGGGGCGGTGTGTGAGATTTATACTCACCACAAAAACCACACGGTGTACCTACGAGCGCCTATGCCGGAGCCAGGTGATTCGCAAGTGCATTTCTACCCCAGCTCCGACGGCGACGGCCCGCCCTGTAGATGTTGTAGGGCAGGCCCCATCTCGTTATACGGTTAGGGCGACCTATTTCGCCCTACTCCATTGTGGAGGCGTGTGGGTACATGCGCACACCTCCGGGGCCTTTGGATTGGGGGGACTGCCTCCCTCAAGGCAGTCACCCCGGCCCCAGTGGGGGATAGAGGGGGGCGGAGTTGGATACGCCCCCACCTCTAGGCCTGGCTCTTATATTAATTATAGATTTCCAGCCTTGGAGCCGCAAATCTAAAATTTTCCTAAGCGCAGAAAACCCCGAACAGTAGATGGAATGCTACCATACTTTATCATACGCCAACGACAGTTAGAAGCCGTCGGCAGTCAAGGAAGCTGACGAAGATGAATGATATATTATACCGAAGAGGTGCGACTACACACGAGTTACTTAAAAAAAATACAATTATTTGATAATCATAATACAATTAATTATGAAAACTAATACAATTAAAGTAAACTTAACCTAACTTAAGAATTAGTGTCATACTTGGGAACAATTTTTTTTTTAATTTAAATTTGTTTGTTGTTGTGTAGTATATCTTTTTGTGCTGGTTGTAATTTTTTAAATTTTAAGCTATTGCATAACTTTTATCGCGGGCTTTGAGCGCGGCGACCAAATCAAGAAATTCTATAACGAAAAAAACCTAACACCCCCACTCCGACCGGCACAGCGGTGCGGCGTTGAAAGTCGTGCATCGTCTAAAGTCGTTTCAGTTTGGCAGACTTCGGTACGGTGTTTGGATGCGTGCAATTAGACGTATGCGTCTAGACTACCTGCAAACTGCTCATAACTGAGTCCACGAGTTACTTCAAGCCCGCGACTAGTTGAATTTTAACGTGTGTGTATATGATACGACTGCACTTGAAATAGAAATAGAAATAATCTTTATTCAAATAAACTCTTTACAAGCACTTTTGAATAGTCATATTTTGATTCTACCACTCATTCGGAATGCAGATTCATCACAAGAAGAATGAGCAAGAAACTTGTGTGTTGCTATTTTTAATATTTTTTTGATAAGATTTTTTTTTATATAAATAATTACACTATTACAAGTAAGAGGCATGCGATAATCAACATAGAAGTCGCTACGCACTCATTATTAGTGTAATCAGATAATATTGTCAGTGCTATGGATTTAAAGTTTTTCTATAAAAACATTATTATCGTTAACGAATTCTTCAATTTTATAGTAAGCTTTTTTGCAAAGGAACTGTTTTATTTGACATTTAAATCTTTTTTCTGGCAGATTTATAACATACTCTGGTATTTTATTGTAAAACCTTACGCAATTGCCATAAAACGAATTACTAACTTTAGCCAAACGACATTTAGGTAAAATCAGTTTGTTATTGTTACTAAGCTTTTATTAGTGCAATCACTAACTCTTTTGAAACTGTCTATATTCTTTCTGGCATAGATGATATTTTCGCAACGGTGAGGATATTTGATTCTTTAAAACACTCTCGCAATGACTCCCTGGGACCCATACCATAAATGGAGCGAATGGCCCTCTTTTGTAAAGTAAATATTGTATTTATATCAGCTGCTTTGCCCCACAACAAAATACCATACGACATAATGCTATGGAAATAGCTAAAATAGACAAGTTTAGCCGTTGCCACGTCTGTTAATTGTCTGATTCTTCTTACCGCTAAGCTGCTTCGAAATCGGACGAATACGTAAGCAGCTGTTTGTGAGAAAGTATATTATTTTATTACTGTATAATAAATTGTTCTCTTATCTGTCACCACGCTCAAAAAGTGTAACTTGAATTAATGTCAAAGAAAAAACTTGAATTAATATAATATAAAAAAAATACTGCATGAATAAAATAAATAAATAATTATAATTGCATAAGTTGATAAAAAATGCTATGCAATAGCTTTACCGCGGCAGTCTCCAAGTGCCACAATTTTTTTTCTTACAATACAGGAAACGACACCTACGTGTTCTTCTGCTCGAGGTTTCACTGAAACAAAAGAGAAACAAGAATATTCATTTTCAGAATTATCATTATATTAATAAGTAAAGCAAAAACTTTGTACCCTGTTTAGAAAATTGCACTGGCGGAGTAGTATAAAATTTGGTACACTTATTCTTACTAATACTGTAAATGCAAAAGTAACTCAGTCCATCTGTCTGTAAAGGTGTCACACAAAACTTCTTAACTCATTTATAAGAAATTAGTTACAGATAGTCTAGATCCTGAGAAAGAACACAGGCTATTTTTTCAAACAAAAATGGTTTCCAAGGGGAAATGAAAGGCCATATAGCTGTACCATTTTTAAAGCCAGAAGCTCTAAACGTAATAAATATAAGGCTGTTGATTAAATAAAAGAAAATGTGACATTCAAAGTTTGTAAAAAAATTACCCTAAAGAATGTAAAGTAAAATAAAAAGTTTGTATGGAAATTCGTCATTTTTGATGGTATAAAGATATCATGTACGACTTATTTGTAAAACAATTAAAAACATCATTCAATGTCACTATTCCACACACACAAACTCGCGGGCATGGCTAGTAGTTCATATAGATAAACATTTTTTGCATGCATATGAATATAAATAACATTTTCTACAACTTTTGTCCGTCTGTGTGTCTGTTTCGGTTAATCTCTGAAATGGCTGGACCAATTTTGATGAGAGTTTTATTGGTAGGTAGCTGATGTAATAAGGAGTAACTTAGGCTACTTTTATTTCAGAAAAATTCTCAAATTAACTTTTTTGTTAGTATAAAATAAATTAACATCTATATAAAACATTACTCACACTACCATTCTATTACAAGACTGATCAAACGTCTGTGTTAATATTGTTAACAAGCTGTACCCGCGACTTCATCTGCGAAAACAGTGACCTGGATCAAATACTGAAATAAATTTAATAATCTAACCCCATAAAAGTCAATAAAAAAAGTTTCATCGTTCTAGCTTCAAAAATGACGAAACCTCCATATAACCTTTCATTTCTCCTTTCGACCACTTACACCCATTTCTCGCATTAAAAAGTAGCCTGTCTTTTTTCAGGGTCTCTAGACTATCTATGTGTCAAATTTAATTTAAATCGGTTCAGTAGTGTTGGTGTGAAAGCGAGACCGACAGACAGATAGACAGTTACTTTCGCATTTATAATACTAGTAGGGATAAGAGAAAAGGGTATGTTTATAATGTGGACTAATAAATAATCAATCAATCAAATCATTTATTTGCAGAATACAGGACTTATAGGTGTATACTATATTAAATATGTCCAGTGTATTCAGCTGCATAATTTTTTTATATATTATTATTTATTTATTTATTTACGTCACACTAAGTGAGCTTTACAGTTTCCCAATATGCCCACTTAGGAAGATTGTATACATATATACACACTTATAGAACACTAGTTACTAATATGTATACTAATTACACAAGAAAAAAAAACAATAATAATAATAATAATCTTTATTTTTCATACTACATAAATAATCTGCTGCCATCCTACGAAACTCCAGCAAATTACAAGTAAATATGTCTAGATCTGGAAAGCGACTAACTACACCGTTGAGTAGAGTCAATGCCAGAGAAATAGGAGCCTGTTTGGCTAGCTCTGTTCTTCTCCACGGAACATCGAAAGTAATTATTGGGCGCTCTTATGAACACCGATTTGAATACCGCTTGGGTACAATTTTCACCTCTCATGACTTTCACTACATATTCCATTAATGTAATTTTCCGTCTTACTTCGAGTATGTCATATCCCACCATCCCCAACAAAAACATAGTAGGATATATATTAGGGTATGTGACTCTATAATCATACTGCCTTTGATATATATATCATATAATTTCATAATATATATATCATATAGATTTTGTTGGTATAAACTTTTTTTGGATTTTCTCCACCACTCAAAGATATTGTTTATATCTTTCTGAAGGAGCTCGCAATCAGAAAAATTAGTAATTTAAAAAAATAATTTGTCTGCAAACAACAGACCGCCGTAGTGACTACCTCCGGCAAATCATTGATAAATATCAAAAATTCCAGGGGCCCTAAATTACTTCCCTGACTCACCCCGGAGTACGTGTAATATGGCTCAGAGTAGCTTCCATTATACTGCACAAACTGCCTTCGATTGCGAAGGTAGTTAGAGAAGAATTTAATTAACGATGGAGAAAATCCGGCAGCTGAAAGTTTGTGAAGAAGTACATCGTTGTCTACACTACCGAATGTTTTTTTTATATCGAAATATGCTGCGTAAATCTGGCTGCCACAGTCCACTGCTTCCGTGACATATGTTCAAAAGGACAGTAAGTTGGTAGTCGTGGACACTAACATACATAACTCTTTCAACCCCTTATAACTCTTTTTCTAAATATATATTTAACAAATTTAACTTCAAGCTTCTTTTCCATATAAACATTTAACTCTCCTTTAAATTCTTTAGAACCCATTTTTCTTTAATTATATTTAATCAACAGCCTAAAAATCAGTTTCAGGCTTTGAAAATGGCAACATATCCATACAACCTTGCACCTAGGGTAGGTGCAAGATTGTATTCAATCCCCTTATAACCCTTTTCCACATTAAAAAGTACCCTATATCCATTCTCAGGGTCTAGATTGTGTGTTTCAAATTTCATTTAAATCGGTTCAGTAGTTTTGGCGTGTAAGCGAGATCGAGAGTTATAATATTACTGAGGTATTTAATCAATAAACCCAAAAAAGCCAATGAAAAAAATTTCATCATTCTAGCTTAAATAGTCATGAACTTACATAAAACTTTGATCCCCTAAGTAAGACTGACAGACAGACTGAGTTACTTTCACAGTTATAATATTAGTAAGGTATTTAATAAACTAACTCAAAAAGCCAATGAAAAAAGTTTCATCGTTCTAACTTCAATAATGACAAATTTACATAAAAACCTTCATCCCCATTTTTATTATACACCTTTAAGGGTAATTAATTTTCATGAAAGTCAACAAAAAATAAATTATTAATAATTAAAAATAAACATAGTAGTTAAAAAATAAACAGTTAAAAATGTAATAACATAATCCTAACCCTTTTTTTTACAAGGGAAATTCCGTCATAGAGATCCGCACGCCCCGGGGGAGGCCTGCGGATACTGCCGGACTCCCACCGGCTAAAACCCCTTGGTGTCCTCCGCTCGCTACTAGCGCCGGGGTTACGAGATCGACATTGCAGTCCACCGTGACCCCGGCAGCACGGACATATAATATCAATATGTCATTTGAAAGCTTGAAACCTAAGCATTAAATTTATTTAGAACAATGTTTGAATGCAGAGGTAGCGCTCGAGTGCTATACTGCACCGCTATCTTCATCACATGTAAGTAGTCAAATTCAAACTAAGCAATCATAATCAAAACAATACCCTACGTGTCGAGTGGACAAATTTGAACAAGTTTAGTAGTTTGACAATTAGCCGACGGGCTGAGGCCGGATTACCGTGGGATTATTATATATTACAGTAGACTCGCGGTAAAGCGTAACAAACAACCCTGCTTACACATTTATAATATTAGTACAGGATTGATAGCATTGAAACGATACCTGGTATTTCCGTACTGGTTAACATAAAAATCTGCTTGTTACTGGCACATTCCCATAGGTAATACATCCCAATGCAGTATTATTTAATAAAGGTCCAGATGGTTTTATGGGGAATCACTCATGCTGCACTACCTGAAAGAAGATTTCACAACCCAGTAGCAATAATATTTTAGCAGTACAGTCAAAGCTGATATCAGGAAGTATAATATGATGAGAAGATATGTTGAATTGCTGTTGCAATATCAACAACCCTAATATTTTAAAGGATTTGTTAATTAAATTTGTTATTATTAATTTAAAAACATTGTTTGTTAATTAATTATATACAAGTATGTAGTCAGTAACCTGTGACTTTGTCTGTGTAGAATATATATATATATATATTTACTAGCTGTACCCGCGACTTCGTCCGCGTAAAATAGTGGCCTTGACTATATGAAAATATATATGTACTATGAAAATATTTAATGACCTAACTCAATAAAAGCCAAATGAAAATGTTTTATCGTTTTAGCTTCAAAAATTTCGACACTTCCATACAATCTTTCATAACTCTTTCAACCCCTTATAAATCTATTACTTAATATATATTTAAAAAATAGGCTAAAAATTAAACTTCAAACTTCTCAGCTTTAAAAATGACTATATTTCCATATAAACATTTAACTTTCCTATAAATTCCTTAGAATCAATTTTCTTTATTCATATTTAATCAACAGCCTAAAAATCAGTTTCAGGCTTTGAAAATGGCGATATATCCACACAACCTTGCACCTAACTTTTCAATCCCCTTACAACCCTTTTCCACATTAAAAAGTACCCTATATCTATCCTCAGGGTCAAAAATAAGTTTAAGCTCCTAGCTTCAAAAGACGAATTTACATAAAATCTTTCATCCCCTATTTTATTTTCCCTCTTAAGGGTATGTTTTTTACAAACTTTGAATGATATATTAATTTATATTTAATCAACAGCTTCAAGAATAAGTTTCAAGCTTCTAGCTTCAAAAATGACGAATTTACATAAAAACTTTCATCCCCTATTTTATTTTATACAAACTTTAATGGCCTATTTATTTATATTTAATCAACAGTCTTAAAAATCAGTTTCTAGCTTGAAAAATAACGTATTTATATACAAACTTACATCCCCTATTTTATTTTACCCCACTAAGGGAAAATTTTTATAAACTTAGAATGTCATATTTATTTATATTTAATTAGCAGCCTCAAAAATAAGTTTGAAGCTTCTAGCTTCAAAAATGACGATTCTTCCATACATCATTTCAACTTCTTACAACCCTTTTTTCGCATTAAAAAGTAGCCTATGTCCTTTCTCAAGGTCTAGACACAAAGAGTGTGTACCAAATTTCACTTAAATCGGTTCAGTAGTTTTGTCGTGAAAGCTAGACAGACAGATAGACAGACAGAGTTGCTTTCGCATTTATAATATTAGTAAGGAAGTAAGGATAGTAAGGATAAACTTAAATAAATATCTAAAATACATGTAGCCTAAAATATTCCTTATGACATATAGCTATCTAAAGTCCCATCAAAATCAGTACATCTGTTTCAGAGCTAACAAGAACAAATAAACTCTGTCTACAAAAATTATTTAAATTACTTGTACTGGAGATTCCTCCGTGGTATAATGACCTTGGGTAGCATTTTAATTAATTTTAACTTATAAACGCCCCATACGGATAACATTTTTACAAATTTGAATGTTATATTTTATCTATCTTAAAAATTACAATATTCCATACATATTTCCATCACCCCCCTCAACTTAGGTCTATGTCTAGACTAATGGTGTACCAAATTTAAATTAAATTGGTTATTAAGTTATTTTCACATTTGCAAAATTAAGAAGAAAGTAGAGTCGGTGAAATACCACTAGTTCAACATACAAATATAAATCTAAAACAAAATCTCAATATAAAAAGTTGTGTAGCAATCATATGAATTAGAACCTTAATAATGTTCAAACTTATAATTTAAATTAATTATGGTCAAATTTCAACCACTGGGGGACCTCTAGTTGATATAGAATTTTGAAAAGTTAACAATTTTCTTATATGTGTGGAAAATTTATTGAAAATTCTAATATGGTGTTAAATATAGTTATTCATTCAGTTATACATAATAAATAGTAATGTTTGCCTTTTGCCTATTATATACTAGCTGTTGCCTGTTTTGTCTGTGTTTCTGTTGTTTTTCTTAAAATAAGTAGCCTATGTTCAGTATGTTCAGTGCCTCACAGTTCAGTGGTTTTGATGTGTTTTCCAAACATTTCCCATCAATGCTCTGCTCCTATTGATAGTAGCATGATGAAAAGTATACTATAACCAGCCCAGGAGTATGAAGAATAATTGTACCAAGTTTCGTTAAAATCCATCGAGTAGTTTTTTGTTTCTATATATGAACATACAGACAGACAAAAATTTTACTGATTGCATTTTTGGCATCAGTATCGATCACTAATCACCTCCTGATAGTTATTTTGGAAATATATTTCATGAACAGAATTGACTTCTCTAGATTTAATATAAGTATAGATTTGTGCCATTTACTATACCCAAACTATAATTAATAGGTATGTACAATCTTGTCAATCAATGCCTTTTATCAAAATAAATATTTTAAGTGCACTTCATGCTCATTTAAACATAATATGCATAAAATTTTAGTTTTTTTGTTTATTACACCTTTGTTGGTTAGCCATTTTGAATTTGACACATCAAACAGCTTATATACTTATTAATATAATACTTACACAATTGTTGTATTTCAGCAGTCATCCAATACTTATTTTAGAAGACTCATTCGATTTATCGGCAAATATGGAGCTGGTAGATTCTATTCGGATGACTCCCTAAAAATAAAAAAATGCAGTAAGCTTTGGCATGGCAGTTTAGCATTTCTGTGCAGTTGAAGCCATAGCATATATTATATCTGTTATTTTTAGGTAAAATGTTAATGAAGAATAAAACACATAGCTCCAAAACTGCTTCAATATTTTCGGCCTGCAATTTGCAGTTTGTGCATGAACATGTATGCTGTACATTAAGATTAGCCAGACACATCAAGCAGTTTGTATAAAAATTAATTATATCTTTGGTGAATCACCATATAAGTAATTTTAAGCGTATCGTAATTGTAAGCGGTAGATTTAATTTTATTTTTAACCCTTAAAAATTTAACCCTTAAAAAGCTAAGCAGATTTTAATAAAGCCTAAAGCTTTCCCACATAAATATAAACGTATGTATAATATTTCAGAAACAGATAGTTTTTGCTAAGAAGTAATGTTTCAAGTTCGTTTTAGTTAGGTTAAACTTTTGAACTCACCATTCTTGGTAGGCTAACTTTCTTGATCTTGTTAAGAAACAATATAGCCTTCTATAGATGGTATTATAGTCCTCAATATTTATTTCGAGCAATCCCCACACAGTTTAAATATATTGAAATATATAATAGATTTGAAATACGTCACATGGTGAATTTAACGTGGTCTATCCGTTAGAAAATTTCAGGTTAGCCTCAGGGTTGCCATCTTTAAAACGTTTACCCTCATACGAAGAAATATAAAAAATTACAGATTAACTTAATTTGACTCTTTAATCTCGTATATTTTTGAAAACAAAAAACCTAAAGGTAATTTAGTTAAAAAAAGACCTTGTATATTATAGGATTTTGACCAATTTTCAAAATTCAAGAAATAGTATGAAAACGTCTTTGTACTATAGGCCAGAAATATCGTATTTGTACAAGTATCCTAGTAGTATGGCCGATAATTATAATTATTCATTGAAGCTGTGAATTTTCAAATTTAATATTCAGTTTTAAACAGCATATGTCAATATTAAACCTTTGACTTTGTTATGTTATTGTAAAAATAAATGATTATGAATTTGTTTTCATTAATGTTATTTTACCTTTATATCGTCATACATAGTATCACACCCATCATTCCCACAGAATGAACAAAACTTACGGATATTTTTTTCTTTTTATCTAACGAGATCAATAATTTCCCATAACTAACCCTGGCAACATTATGTGGTGCGAATATACATATAGCACTGTGACTGAGGGACTTCTATCATAAAAAATACTTTACGATTGGCATCCCAGTTTTTTACTCTATGATTAACTGGTTCTAAGTGAATTATATAGATTTTTCTTAAAAACAACATCTTTGAAATGTTAATTTTCTCTTTGTTAGTTTTCCTAATTTCTAAAATAGTTTATTCAAAAACGCTAAATGACAGAAGTTTGGGGTCGTCGTTCATTAACAAACAAACATAAATTGATATGATATCTTTACTAAAACTTCATAATTACTTTATAAATTGAGACAGCATCGTCCTTTTTTTCATTTTCAACTTAAATATCTAAAAAATTGATCATAATTAAACCCGAAATTTCAACAAGAAATTTTTGCATAAAAAAAGCATAATAATAAAGTTAATATATAATACTGAAAAAAAAATATAAGTTAAGAAAAAATAAACAATAATAATAAAGTTGTATTTGTGAATTAAAAATTAATTTTGCTAATATACTTATTTCTACGAATACTAAGTTGTTGTTAAATATATATATATATATAATAATTTTATGCCAAAACAAAAGTACATATTTAATTAGCATTTGTCACACTAATGGCAATTAATATATACTTAGTGTAATTTAAAGTTGTTGTTAAATATATATATATATATATTTATATATATTGCCATTTTTTATAAACAAGACACTACAGTTATGGTTAGTTGGGGTCCCTGATACTTAGTACACAACCGAGTCAATAAAATATATCATTATAAAAGCTATTTATCAAAACAATCGATCGTTTCCCATCGATCAAATATTTCACCGGTCAAATAATTTCGTGTTTGGGTGAAAAGTCAACAACATTATAAAATAGAGAACGTAATATAAAATTAAAGATCCGTGTACAGTATTGGGACGTTATATATAAACATTATATTCTGTTAAATCATATCGTAGTTTTTTTATCGATTAAAATGTTTTTGTGTTTGATCACAACTTGAATACACACGATAGTTGCGGACAAGACTGGCCGATTGTATTTTAACCGAACATCATCATATTTTGCATTTTGAATTACCTTTCAAATTTTATCGAATATTTCAATTCGATGTTAAAACATTGATATTAAAATTTATAACATGGATAAATATAGCCAATAACACGTCAATGATGCAGGAACAGCAATGATAGCAGTTGAAGCTTTTTTTACAACTTAGAATGACGGCTCTCCTGATGGAAAGGGTCGCCTATATACCGTCGCCTATATACATTGAGCAGTACCTGCCATGTTCATATATATCAGCACATTGTTTCCCTCATGCGTGCGAAGTCGCGGACAAAGTATATAGATAGATATACATATACACAGATAGTATACCCTGAGAAAGGTCATAGACTACTTTATAGTGCGAAAAAAGTATTGTAAGGGATTAAAAGCGGAGATGAAAGGTTGTATAAAAGTATCGTCATTGTTTAATTTAAACAAAGAAACTTTTTTAGGTTATAATCTAAATATATTTCCTTTATTTGGTCAATTTCATTATACCACGCTGACGAAGTCGCGGACACACCTAATATACATATAAGGATGGGACTTTTAAATCAAAACAAAGCCTTGAAAACACAACTATTATATATAAATAAAATAATTATTTGCTAAGTATAATATTTGAACATAGTTATCTACTGAATTAATATGTAAGAAAAATTAATTAGTAAATTTATGTTATAGTGTCTCTAGATAGTCTGTGACTGAACCAAAGGAATAATATAATAAAAAAATATGGTCATTATTAGCACTTTGATAATAGTCAGTTATTTAAAAAAACTAAACTGTTTGGTCTGTATTCACTGGATTTCATTTCAGTGTTGTGTATGTGTCGTAAATACGATTAAACCTGTATCAATCTTAAGTATTTAAACAAATTCTGTTGTAACACGTCAATAAAATATATCATTATAAAAGCTATTTATATATTTATACAAATATTACAAAATAATTTCAATATCATCAAAATAACGTGACTGGCCGATTGTATTTCGACTACAATTATCACAAGGATAAATACTGCAGACATAGTTATGACGTGACTTTACTGTTTGGTCTGAAAATCACCTGTATCAATCTGTTTTCAATATAATTGTAGTGAAAATCACCTCTTCAATATAATTGAATAAACTTGTTGAAACTATTTTCAATTGTATATAAAAATGTCTGAATTCAAAGACTGGTACAATAATGTGCCATTCTTTACCCGGTATTGGCTGACATTCACTATAATTCTGAGTATAGTTGGGAGATTTGGTATCATCAGTTACTATTATTTCGTGCTGGATTACTATCCGTTTATTCACCAATTCCAGGTCAGTAAAGAACAACAGTAATTATTCAATTTAGTATTTCTTTAACATAGTTTTGTTACCTATTTTCTGCAGTCACAATATTTTGTTCTCATACTTCATATTAAGATACAATAAAGTATTAGAAAGACCGGTCACTATAAGTGTTGTCCTTGGTAAATTGTAAAAAAGTAGCATGCCAATGTCATTGTGCCCAGTGTTATTTGTGTTTCAAGAAATATGTAACTGTGCTAATAATATACGCTGGGGAGGACAATAAGACGAGCATTAGATCAGGTCAGATAGCCCATCATAACATACAATAACCCAGATGATAGGCTGGTTGCCGAAAACAGAGTCTAATTTATATTAAATTAACCCATCATAACAAATTCAACAGGAATGTGTATTTTAGTGAGTATAGTTATAATAATGAATTTAAGAAAGAGGGGAAAAGTTAAAAAAGGTTATTACTATTGAAATAAGGGGCATAAAATTTAACAAGTTTAGCACAATTAGGTTAGGCAAAAATATGTTTTCTTCAGCTCATGAAATGAATATACTAAGAAAAAAACTATTTTATTGGTGGTTTGTGGCTATGAATTATAGAATTAAATTGTTTGTATCATATCTCCAAGTAAAATTGAGTGATGTAACTTTCTATTTGATTAGGGGTATTTTGAATAATAATTTCCATCTGAAACATAATGTTATAGAATCTTATAATTTTCACATGAGAAATCAAGAAGAAAGTTAAATAAATTTACTATATGATGCTCAAGTAGCTGCTCATCTTGACTTCAAAGGATCATTTTTAATATTAAATATTTTTTTAGTATTTAATGTTACTTTTTTATTTCTCTAGTCCATTCTTGCATCATCTAAAACTTTCTGTTTTCTCTACTCTACCGAAAGGTTGTCTGGAATAGATTGCTTACGCGATAAGACCACCTTTTGTACCTTATTACTTACTATGTTCTTTGTATTATATTTCTGGTGAATTCAAGAGTAAATAATAAATAAATATATAAATTCTTTACAGATATGGAGACCGCTCACGGCACTGTTCTACTATCCCATCGGTCCATCAACTGGATTCCACTTCCTGATAAATTGCTATTTCCTCTATAACTATTCACAAAGACTAGAGACAGGAATGTTTGCTGGGAAGCCTGCAGACTACCTTTACATGTTGCTATTCAACTGGGCTTGTTGTGTTCTTATAGGATTACTAGTTGGCCTACCAGTAAGATCTATTAATTATTATCTATATCTCTATTGATTCTGTAATTGGCATATTGCTTTGTACAAAGTTGTCTGGGTGGATAACTCTGTCTTACCTATTCAGCCGCCAAACAGCTTGTTTTGTAAGCTGTGAAATTACAGGATAAAAGGCATATTATATTATTATGGACTTATAATATTATAGTCCTCTGGAGTAAAAAAGCCTGGTGGTGTAAAGTGTCATATAATAATGTGAAAGTGTGCTATAGGTGTGGTTAACCATTAAGTAAGATTTTTTGTGCCACTCTGTTTAAATAAAATAAAAAAAAATTATGGCCTTGGTGATCTAGCGGTATAGGACATCACTTCTGATGGTTGCGGGTTCGATTCCTCGCATGGTACAGACATTTGTATTCATGTGTATGATTGGTTGTATCAGTCTGGGTGTATTCTATCTATATTATGTATGTGTTTTAATTGTCCAGGGTTATTATTATTATTATATATTTTATTTTCACAGCTTTTGCTGGATTTTTACACTTTGTGGTGTATATCACATTATTATTGTTGTATTCCACAGATACTCATGGATCCTATGGTTCTGTCAGTGCTGTATGTATGGTGTCAATTGAACAAGGATGTTATTGTGTCCTTCTGGTTCGGCACTCGCTTCAAAGCCATGTACCTGCCTTGGGTGCTGTTAGCTTTCAACCTAGTTATAAGTGGAGGGTGAGTAGAAGGTTCAGTTTATGCAGCATAAAATATTTTTTTTAATTATTATTATCATTTTTCCTAATCAGACTGTTTTTTCTTAATGATATTTTATTACACAAACTAAAACCTCATGCAAATGTGTACTGCAAACCATAACAGTACAGTGTTTTTTCACTTTCTTTCACTATAAGAAATAAACATGAAAGTTTAAGAGTTAAAATATACTTATTAGGCTTAGTTATTTATTATATTTGATTTCTTTTTGCAATTCTGTCACATAAAAAAATATATTATTTAATACCAGCGAAAATATGTCAGTCTCTGAGAGCTGACTGAGCTGAGAGAAGAAAAACTCATCATCAATTAGTAGAATAGAGGAAAAAAATGTGATGTATATTTGGCCTCAATTAACTGATATGGTGTCCTATCAAAATCCATTCAGTAGCAGATTTGGCATGAAAGAGTAACAAATTCATCTATCCATACTCATAATATTTTATAATATTAGTAAGGTTTTTGTGGTGTTTTGTTTCAACAGTGGCATAATGGAACTGCTGGGTATTCTAATTGGGCATCTGGCATTCTTCTTGTTGTTTAAGTATCCACAAGAGTTCGGTGGTCCAGCCCTCTTGACACCTCCTTCATTCTTGTAAGTATATGAATATATCGTCATAGTTGTAGAATACTGACGGATCTGACTATTAAATTAAATAATAGTCAGATCCATCAGTATTCTACGACTATGACAATATTTTTCCTTTTTGTTCATACCTGTCAGAAAATTCATGTCTATGGAGCTTAATTGGTTGCATTAATGATTTTTTCAATCAAGTGATAATTCTTTATATTTAGTCTTAAATAAAGAAAAGAAAAAAATCATTACAGTTATCTGAAGTACATAGTTACATATGTAGGTATAAGCATAATACTATGTCTTTATGCATTATATTTCATAGAGATAAGTATTATAATATGTAAAAACAGCATTCCAACAGAATTTACAAAAAAGGTACAGTTTTCGAGGATTTATTTTTTACTTCGCTTGTTGAACATAGATTATAATTTGTCAGCCATTCTGATTACAATATATGTAATTATAATATAATAGCAATTATTTTGGTTTCAGTTTTTTTTATTTTTTTTCAGACTCTTCTTTATTTTTTTATGAATTTGTATTGGAATGGAGTATATCATTGTTATTGTTTTACTTTAATAAGAACGGTGTAGTTATAACTTGCATGTTTATGTCGTTCTTTACAATGTTTTAATACTTTATCATGTTAACTTCTTAAGGTACAAAAAGCGAAAAATCATATTTTATAGCTAGCCTAATTTTTTTCTTTTCAGAAAACAAATATTCCCTGACACGAGATATATGGGAGGCTTCGGTACAGCACCCCAAGCGAGAATTCCTACTCGACCCGGCGGCAACGTCTTTGGTGGCCACAATTGGGGGCGTGGGCAAACACTAGGAGGGAATTGAACATATTAGGATCAAATAAGTGGTAATGGAACGTCAGATTTCTAAATAAAAGCAATGTGGTTTCTGTTGTTCTACTGCAAAGGAATGGATGTTGTGATCTACTCTGGGAACTAATTTTATTCTTATTACAGTGGATGGAACACTGATATTTTTGAAACTTTAGAATTATACACTAGTAAATAAATTAAAAATTCAATATTGCGTTGGCAATGAACGAACTGATCTGGTTATTGGTTTATTAAATTTTGTTGTGATTACATTTTGAGAGAACAGTACAAAAAAATATTGTAGTGAGATTGATATCGAGATCTCCAGAGTAGGCTTACCCCATATATGAGTTTTTTTATACGGCCTTAACCGAGTGTATGTATATGCGGAATAATATTATAAACTCATTTGTTCCATACCTCGTTACCTATAAAAACGACTGAAGGAATCTTAAAGAAATTTGACGTGAAAATGGATTTCACAATTATTATCATGAGGACAGATATAGGATAGTTTTGCCTAAAGAAAAACATACAAAGTCAAAGGCATCTGTTAGTTCCAAATAAGTAAAAAAATAACAAATCCGTTTCTCGCTTGTTATTTTTTACCTTCATATAATGAGTTAATTGTACACTGTTTATTCAGGGTAAAAGAGTAATTAATTATTTTGTGTACCTCAATTTTTTGTTGCTATATTTCAGATTCTGATAGCCATTAAGTTTTCAATGGAAAAAAACAGATGTGAAGAATGTGTGAATGTCCACGAACAAAATATGTATTGTTATAATCGAATATATTTTTAACAGCCTGTGTATTAATGAACCTAATTTATAAATTTAATAAGCTAGGAATTATTGTAACTTCTTTAAAAACAATGTACCTCATAAAATATCATGATTCTCAGAACAACAGAACAGCAGGCTCTTGTTAGTGTGTGGGTACTATGTACTATTGTTTTGTATAGATTAAAAATAATTTCAATTATTTCTAATTTCTGTACATAAAATTTTTAAATGTTCACAATAATTTGGATCTATTACATCAATGTGATAGACGACATGATAATAAAGGGTAAAGTTATAATTTAATCCTATCGAATACCTAAATATTTTCTACGATTATCATTTCATAAACTCATTTTTTATAGTCGACTAGGTAATCCGATGGACGCTGTCCTGCCTTAGGTGTGAATATTTATTTCGAACTGTCTAATGGCCAATTTTAAATAGTCGTTAAGGTTACTAATTTCAGATTTTTAGGCAATTTTCTTAAAAAAGAAATTCCATAACAACCTACAAAGTGTCAGACAAGTAAAAAGAACAAGTTGAATGAAATCAGTTAGATTGTTCTCATGTTATGTTCACTTGTCTGAAGTGACCAGAGGAAATAGATTAACTAAACATTTTAAATTATAGAACTACATTAACTGTTACCCACGACTTAAAAAATAAAAAAACCCTTCATCTGCATGGAATTTAACTTTTTTTTTTGTTAATATAAGTAAAATTTGTTAAAATAATAGCAGTCTAAATTCTCCCTTCAAATAGGTCCAGCAGTTTCAGAGATTAGTAAGAACAAACAGACAGACACAACAAAGCTGCCAATTTGAAATTACAAACGTACAATTAAATTTTATTTATTTGTACGATTTAAATCAACAAATCTTATTACCAGCTTATTTACTTAATTTACCAATTAAGTAAAGTGTTTCGTAAATAAGCTGGTAATAATATTTTTTTGGAAGCTGGACTAAGCATAAAACTTATGTATATAATAGGGGGATATTACATTATCACTTATGTATATAAATAACAGACATAATGCCAGTTTTGAAGCTATTGATGCAGTTTTGTTTGTATGTAACTGCCTTTATTCTGTATTTATGACTGCTTAATCCAGATAATGTAATAATATTAACCCACTTACCAATAACATTATAATATAAATTACAATTAGTTTTATTCCTTTTCGATGGACTAGATACTTTTAATTGAATTACATGAGTATATTATTTTATATATCTTATTTTAAAAGAAATATATTTGATCAGGATGCATGTATGAAATATTAAGATAAAGCAGGAGTATAGGATATGTTTTAAGTATGTCATGTCAAGAGTTTAAATTGTATTAAAATTTAAATGTTGTATTAACACAAACAAAGATTGTATATTTAATGTTTGTGAGTACAAATTACTTGCCTCTATGTACATGCATGTTGGAAAAAAATTATGTTGGTTGGGATCGTAGGGTACAATACTAAATTTTGAATGGTTCCTGTCAGTTTCTAAACATAATTTTGTTATTTTAAAGTCCGCGCAGATGATGGAGAATCTTTGAATATTAATATGAATGCCTACCAATCTCATGTTTGCAGAATCTTAAAAATGCGACATGTTTAAATTTATCATAGACCTTTGCTGACAAAGAGGGTCACAGAGGACAATCTGAAGTAATTTCCCTTGTCTGCGTAGATTATATTTTATTAATTGTACATAGATATTTATACCTAAGAACTATGGTATATTTCTATAATGATATTTTAACAATGAAACAAATACACACATTTTTATTTTTTCCCCTTTCATTTCATTGTACTATTTAGTTTCTATAGTTGTTGTTGAACCGTGTATTTTTTTATTGGCAAACAAGCTCACGATAATAGTAGTAACCGTCATCTTATTCATGAATAGCACCGCGCAATGTAACCTCATGGGTTGCCATTCACTACTACAGAGGTCTAAATAGAAGTTCAACCCATACACAGCTTACAAATTAAATACTTGGCAGCTTAAATAAACGGTGAAACAGAGATACACACAAATTGCTTTAAAACATAAAAAATGACAAGTAAAGACAAAATAAAATTAAATACGTTTACTAATATACACTAGATTTATACATTCAGTGGTGAAGGTCTTTTGGATCGGGCTTGCCATACTCTTTCTCCCAATTGGCAATAAACTCTTTCTTCCTTTGCTCACGTCGCTTGAAATATTCTGGGTACTGAGCCTTTTCTAATGGATGCCAGTAATCAAGCACCCAATCCGGGGCCGTGACGACACGCGCGTGAGCAACCCCGCCAACGCTGGTAGCGACTGTAAACAGGACAAAAATTAATTGCAGGCGTCGTGTACATTGGTTTATACAACTTAGAATGCTAATGATCATGAATCCAACACTTTGAATTTTACTGACTTACTGACTCACCGGTGATGAACCTATATCAAACCACATGAAACAGTCAAGACAGGAGGGTAGCCTTGCCATGTGAAAAGTAGACATGTCAAATATTTGCTATTACCAGACATTATATAGAATATTTTTAAAAGAGCAGATGGATCCATTATACTATTATCATTCATATAATGGAATGGTCCAAAGAGCTAAGATTATACAATGAAGCACAATAGGATCAAATGGATACATTGAATGGATACATACATTGTTAGTGTAAGAGGACTAGTGGCTTAGTAGTTCTCATTGCTAGCAATGAGGACTAGTGATCTAGTAGCCCAAATTATTAATAAGTTTAACTTAACCATCTAACATTGGCAGTAGGACCTCTGAGTGGGGATGGTGAGATTATTGGTAATGGGGTTGAATCATCCAAACATTGTGTGTTATTCTGCTGAAATGCAACATTAGTGTACAGCATCAGTGAAGCTGGTGCACCAATTCATCATTATCCTTAAACAAAACCTGTAGACTTTCACAAAAACAATAAAGGTTTTAGTAAGTATTATGCAAATTACTTTATATCAGCATGCATAGCTGAGAAGAAAAATCTAAAAATTTAGTAACTTAATTCTAGTAATATTATTTTTATTTTAGAGCAAAATAATTCAAATGAAGACATATCATTCCTAGTTAGAGCTGTGTTTAACTAGCCTTGCAGATCTATGTTTACACCATAAAGAAGATAAACTTCATTTTTAAATAAGAATTCCTTTAGTACACAGTTTATGGCTAGTATGAAGTCTGGTCTATCTTTTACTAATAAAATGGACAGTCAAAGGTTACATTTTTCTTTACTCACATTTCTTAGGAATGGGATGTTGCTGTAAGAACAATTCTTCTTCTCCCTCCTTCAGTAATGTTATAGCCTTGCGCATGTCTGTTTCCTTGGCATTATTATCAAATCGTGCTCGTAGCAGCACAGCATGGTACCGGTATACATGGCTATAATTATAAAAAAATATTAGCAAGTTGATACATCACCTTTCTTTAATTTGTCTCAATGGTCTAGCTGTTTGACATATGACATTGTGTTTGATAGTTTATACATTTTTTTTAAAATAGATTATAATGATATGGTGCACCACCTGCATTATCAGTATAAACTGGCAGGGCACCAGTGGAGGATGATAAGATGAACATGAGGTCAGTTCAGTTTGTCGACTGTGACAAATTCACCAGCAATTTATCTCAATGTTTTTCAGAGGGAACTGCATGGAGTTCAACATGACATGGTACCATGTTAGCAATGGGGTTAACGGTACATATTATCACAATCTCACAACCACCTTCCCCCAGGTTCAGATTTGTATACTGATTGTTTGAATTGGCCTGACTGTTATTAAGTATGTATTTACAAAAATATACAATTTAAAGTATTTTTGTGAGTTCAGTACCCATAAGCTTCGGAGTTAGATGATATATTGACCAGTGATATTAGAATTATACAACAGCTCTGGTCTTCATCTATACCAATACTACAAGTTTCTTTACTTGGAGTCTTAATTGCTCTTTCTTTTCTTACTTTGGCAAATTTGTATTAGGAGACATGGTGTAGGTGGAAGATTAATGCTCATTGGTTATGATTTCTTAATCATTCTATTATTAACAAATCCGAAAAAGGCAGTCCAATTTATTTGTATTTTTTTGAGTTAATATTAACACAAATAAATATTTTTGCCATGTATAGTTATTCAATATAATCTACTTGATATTTTAGTAAATATTTTATTCTAAATAGTATTAATAGTAAAGTAATTTTAAAAAAAATAAGAAGTAATAACTGTTAAAGCTTAGGAAATATTCTAAGGATGATGTATTACTTATGAACCAATTTATATTATACAATTTTCTAAATACAAAACATATAAAGTATGCTTCTAATACGCCAGTAATAACATAATAATGTAAAAATTGCCATACAAAATAAAAGCAATTATGTGTAGCAACTTAAGTATAAAAGATACTGAAATTAACCTGAACAATTTATTGCAAGATTTTATTACAATTTCCAAAAGCACAAAGAATCTTGGTAATATCTGTAAACGTATGTGATCAATAAATTGTGTTTCATAAAAAGCAAAATTACGTAACGCAATATAAAATTGAAAAGGTCTAGGTTATTAATTAGAAATAGGAAAATAAACCATACCGTCGATCATAAAACGCCTCTATATTACGTAAAGCCCTCTTGTAAAGACTACAAACTTTTTGCGCATGGGTTTTTATTCCTAGAAAAGGAACATTCGCCATTTTAAGTATTATATTTTGATTTTAAGATTTTGTTTGCCTTCGAATTTATTTGACTTTGATTGCTTGATTGATGCTATGCCTTCAATCAACGTAGAACTGACGTAGAGCAAAATGACAACACGCCGTGATGTGAAGCGTACGTTCTGATCGATTCAATATAATCGAATAGTTAATTACTATTATAATATACAATAAAATAGAGAACATAGTACTACTTTAAGGTAATTGATAATCGCTTTCTTACTCTGTATTGAGGTTGATAACAACTAATATTTAATCATTGAATAGAGTGGCTAATCATTTGAACGAAACCATAGACAAAATAGCTTGTGCAGAAATGAGTAAGAAATCACTAGTACTAATCACTGTACACAAAGTACAGTATATTTTGTTTATTCACACTGCATATATCAAAAGCTGACATGGTATTAAAATGATTCCTTAGCCGGTATGTATTATAAATTATGCTTATTATGATGTTCAATTAAAACGTGTCTGCAATCCGTCAGATACAGTAAAAGCTTCTTATTCGCGTTTTCACTATTCGCAGATTTAAAAAATGCGACCCAATTCCTATATTCACCGCTAAAATTTTATTTATTCGCAGATTTTGTATGTACCGATAGACCTATATCGGTATCTGATGGCAGAAAGGGAAAAAAACTTATGTTAGCAATACTGGGGAATTTGGAATAAAATGTTTTGATACTTTTTTTTCCTTACAGCGGCTAATTTTGAAATGTAATAAGTAAATTTATCCAATGATCAAGGATAATTTTTGAAAATTTACTGTGGCGAATGTGGGGTTCGAAATTTAGATGAAAACCCCAATTCAGAGTAATTGAGTTTTCATGAGTTTATTAATTAATTATAGGTTATCAGAAATTGAAAATGGTTTCAAACATTGCACATCCATACAAAACTCTTCATCGGAAGTGGAAGACGTAGTATTTATGATAAACTGATAGTCTCAGTTAATCGATTTTGTTCTGTGAACTGATATTAAATTTTTATTACATGTTGACAAGATTTTTGCCATTCATCGATCCCTATTTGAGAGAAAGCTTCTTCTATTAAAGACTTTATATCACTTGCATGTCTATTGACATACGACTCTTCGACCTATATTCCAAACAACAGTTTGGCACAAAACCATATTTTCCACCAGTATGTACAATGATCCATCTAGATTCTAGACTCTGCCGAAATACTTTTAGATGGGCCTGCAATATCTTTATTTTGTCAGCATTTATTCACTGAAAATGAATCGTGTATGTAGGTTTCATCCTAATAAACTACATTTAGCTTATCATCGGCTTCTCGATTCTTTTGCATACGCTCCAAATACTTGAATCTGTGTATCTTTATGTCATAGTCGCTCCATTAAAATATTCCTTTTAGATTGGCACTTCACGAATTCGATGTCTTTTAAAATAAGTCTGAAGACAAAATAAGATTGTTAATTTTAGATTACTATGTTTTTAGATTATATTCAAACCGAAAGAAAATGAAATTAATTTTTGTTACCCTTCCTCCCTGATTTCTCCATTGAAATTGATTTCCTCCCGAAAAATTTGTAGCAATTTCATGATAGTGGGTATTTCTTTTCGTACATTGTAAAACTCATTTATCTTGTTTCTGATCAATTGTAAATCAAACCTATCCAATTTTTTTTGCCACATTTCCACTTTATACCGGGCTTACTATATACGCCTCTGTTAGATCTGCCTTCATCAACAATTCGTCTTATGGTTAGTATTAGAAACTCCTGAAATAAAACAAAGTTTAGTATATATACATAATATAATACACACGAAAAATGCAATAAACCAAAGTATCACGACGTGTCATTCCTACTAACTAGTCAACGCTTGCACATGGCTCAATATCGATCATTGTGTTTGTTCTGCACCTTGTTCATCAAATCAGTATCAATTCAGTATTCTTTTATAAACAATATTTCTTGATTGCGATCGAAGATGTTTCGTCGACATTTTCACCACTTTTTAAAAGAAATTTGAAAAAAAAAAACATAAAATTCCTCAAAATTTCAGTTGACAGACGACATTTTTTTGTTGCCATATGAAAATGACTATTTTTTAAACTTTTTTTGCCATAAGATTCTGGTAGACCTATACATATATAATTATAAAAGGATTCCAATAGGCATCTAAACCAATATCCTTTGTGAATGGCGTTAAATGGACTAATAAAAATATTAAAATAGATCTTACTACTACTACTTTACCTAAAGTATGTTAGTTGATATCGCCGAGGACTTTGATCAATGTTTTTGAGAATGTAAACAAACAGAAAAAAGGGTATCACTTTGAATTGTAGGAGCTTATAAGCAAGAGAAAATTACAAAATTCTTCAAATCATAAGCAGCCTAAAAGCCTTAGGACAATTAATAAAATGTTTAAAACCTTAAATTAAATTGATTTTTTATTTCGTCACCTAGGAACATATCCCTATACTATAATCACATGTAAATTACCAATCCGTATTCACGGTTTCTGTATTCGCGGCATATTTATGGAACATATACCTACTTACCCCGCGAATAATGAGCTTTTACTGTATATGATTACCTAATTTTGCAACTCTTTTAGCTTCCGCGATTGCGCCTTCAGGTTACGCTCGGTTTAGTAGAGAATGTTGAATGTTTTTTAAGTCTTTTGTTCGTTTAGTTTTGATATACGTTTGTTAATGCTAAAGCATTAAGAAATGTATATCAACTCTTCAGTTATCTCATTATTTGTAGTTTAGATGTTTTTTGTACATATGTTATGTATATCGGTATGGTACTGTATATCGATAGTTTGAATGTTATTTACGTACCTGTGTCATTTTTAGATTTATATATGTTAATATTTGCAAGAAGACCTTGCTGGCAGCGACAACATCATTACCCGATCATCAGGTTTGATGAACTAATATGTAAGCGCGGGGGGAAGGGTTATTGTTAGTAATGTGGACTAATAACCCCACTGCTAGCAAGGTACTATCTCAGGTTGACCGACACGTGGTCCCTCTGGCAAATATCGTGATTAAGTCATGGCGAATTTACCACGATGGGCTAACTGACCTGATCTCATCTTATCATCCTCCACTGGTCTCCTGCCAGCGTAAACCGTTAGCGCAGGCAGGTGCACTATTCCTTTATCATCCATAAGAAATATAAAATATGTAGACATATAAATACTTTAAGATGTCCTTTTGTATGAAATAATAAAGTGTAATTCGTTCATTTTCTTTCTGCGATCTTGTAAAAATTTGGGAGTTCCACCGTTATTTCGACCATAATTAATTTAAATTGATTGACCACTAGATTATATTTATTAACACTCTTATCTAATAAATTCTAAATAGAAAGATAGCGTAGATATAAAATCTCAGAAATCATGATTTCTCGACTATTATGCGTGTCTAAAAATATAGTAGGTACCCACCTAATAATGTTGTGAAATAAGTGCATGCAATATAAGGCCCAGAATACATGATATAATTTTTTTAACGTAATTGTAATGGTTGACATGGCGTTTAATTTTGGGACAGCAGATTTAATTTCAAGTAATTATGAATATTATTAGATTCAAGTGTTTATTTTCCTCGTCAGTAATGAAAGGCATATCGTGTAACAATTCTATTGATTCATCTATGTATTTTTTTTATTAATGATAATGGAATGGTGCACCCGCCTGCGCTAACGGTTTACGCTGGCGGAGCACCAGTGGAGGATGATAAGATGAGCATGAGGTCAGGTCAGTTAGACCATCGTGACAAATTCACCAGGAATTCATCACGATGGTTTCCAGAGGGAACCGCGTGGAGGTCAACCAGACATAGTAAATTGCTACTAATGGGGTCATGAGTCCACCTTACGAATAATCCCCTTGTCCCTTCATATATGTATTACATTATTCAATATTTCAGTCGCCAAGCAGTTGCTTTGTAAGCTGTTTGAGGAGTGAGAGATGCCAGTGAAATTACAGGGCATAGAGATAATAGGGTAATACATACGTGGTTCATTTATATATAAATAGGCAAGGGCTGCCAGCTACCATCAGGTGTGCTCTTAGCTTGTTTGCTATTCGATTATCGTTTAGAAAAAGTTAATAGGTCTTTTATCGGAATAGGTATAAAAAATTACAATAAGATACCAAAGGATATGTTGGAATTACCCTTAAATAAATTCAAAACATCTGTTTAATTATATTTACTGAGCAAAGCCTATTACTCACTAAACGATTACTTGAATGACGAGTGTGCATGACAATAGTTGTTCATGCACTAAATTTTCATTTAATGTTAGACATAGACACCTATATAAATATACATTGTAAATAAACTGGCTTTAAATAAAAAGTATATTCAATTGAGTTTCTTGCCAGTTCTTCTCAATTGGATCTATATACCGAACTGGACGGTAGGGGAAAAAAAAAATTTGACTGTAAAAATTTGACGTTCATAAGCGGCTAAAATGTCCTACATGAATAAATGATTTTTGAATTTGAATTTGAATTTGAATTAACATAAAAAAGAAACCATAATGTAAATAAAAATAATCTTTATTTGTCTCAATTGAATTATGTCCTATTAAATTTTATAGTAATAAACTATTACAATTGCTCCATATAATACAAATCAATATCTCTCTGCCCCCGCGTGAGTCCACCCTCTCTTTTATTATGTTATATATATAGTCTTTATTAGTAAATTAATAGATATAACAAAAAATCAAAGTCAACGACAATAACATTTAAGTTCAAAACTGTCCTCTACTAACAAAGTAAACATAAAATTGCAAACTAATAAATATTCATTTCTAAAAAAAATTCAACAATAACAAAATTAAATTAAAGCTAACAATTATTATGGATTACTTATCATGTATACCATGACACGCGGACGCGCGGGTACTTGCACACATATTCACCGACACAACTTTGTAGATTACAATGCTATGAAACGCTGGATTGTTCTTGCATCAAACATTTGCTAAATTTGCGCCGAAATGTTTGTTAAAATAAAATTAGTGATGAACCCCTAGTAAAGCAACCCCTAGTTCTTGTGAGTTTGTTGAAAGGTTCAGAATCCCGTTGTAGTTTCACCACTTTTATAATGTATCGTGTATTCTAGACCTAAATACGAACCTTGAACTGAGTGAGATTCGTAGTACACATCTGGTACAAGGTCAAATCAATTAGTTAACCTGTGGCTAATACATTGCAACAACAGCATATCTGACCTCTACACATGCTGCAGTGTTTGGACTACGTTGGCAACGTAACCTTGTAATATTGCGAAAACTAATATTATATCATAGACGTAGTCTATGAGTAGTTAGTATCATTGTAAATACTATAGCATCATTTTTATATTTACAGCTGACTATTTGTTTGTTTTCAGTAGTAAGGACTAATATAATAAATGCAAAAGTAACTCTGTCTGTCTGTCGCGCTTTCACGCCATAACTACTGAACACATTTAAATTAAATTTGGTTCACAGATAGGTCACAGATAGATAGAAAAAAGGATTGAAAGGTGAGACGAAAGGTCGTATGGAAGTATCGTGATTTTTACAGCTAGCAGCTTCAAATCTATATTTATAATCTACGTATCACAGATTTTTTGCCCAATACGATTTTTAATCTGCCCTATTTTAGGGAGCGTATGTAGTTTAATACATTTAGATCTATTATAGAAAATCTAAAGTAAATTTAATAATACTAAAATTAAAAGGCACATAATTCTAAATTGTAGTACTTAGTATGTTCACGTAATGTTATCTACAGAAAGCTACACAGTATTTTAGGCGAGTGGAATAACAAATAGACGGTCCACCAGAAAGTGATAATACGGAGCGTCGCAAATACTAGAACTGTATCACTGTCAGCACAAAGTAGGCAAACAAACATAACGGACATCTGATGTTAAACGGTTACTACTCGTACTTATAAACACCTGAAAAGCGAAAGACACCAGGTGCGTGTTTCATATAGTAATAGGGTAGTAAGTAGAGGTGCCAAATTTTGTTCAGTCTATTCCCTTATAGGTTAGCTTGCTTAAATAGGCAAAAAATACGGGAATTTAGTTTTTTACCCGGGACAAATAAGAAGCAAAATTATGTAGTGATATTCTTTATTTTTTAATATATTTTTCTAAAGAGCAAGTCAACATATTTTTATTGGTTTTAACATATTCATAAAAATCAATACAATTATAATCGTAATTATAAACAAGTCGCTTTTTATTAAATTAGGAGTATAAAAGTTACGTGCGTGAGTATTTTTGGCTAGTGTAGATCGATCAATTTAATAATAAAAAACGGAGCACGGTTCGTATACGGGACAGAGTCAATCCTGTCCCGTCGGGACATTTGAAACTAACAATAAGCTTAAAATACGGGACGTCCCGGGATATACGGGACTTCTTCTTATATTTCTTTTTCTATTACTATAGACTACTGTGTTTTGCTTAATATAATTTACATGACATATCCCTCCTTTTAAATCCGAATAGCATAAAGAAAAATAAGCGAGACCTAGAAACTCGCTTCTTTGGGATTTTTTGTACAAAGTTATCAGTCTTTGTACATAAAATGCCCTTGTATTATTACGCAAGAAAACTGAAATTTTGTCTGGAGTTTCCATACAGCTGTGTACAATTTACAAATATTTTTTTAAAAATGCTTCACTTCGAAATAATCGAGGTCAAAGAAAGTTAGAAAAACTGACGACGCGAAATGTTCTATCAAAACCGGTCGGTTAACCATCATCAGGGTGGAAGGGCGCTATTTAAAAAACGCAAATATACACTAGTCTAATTTTTATTTTTATTTTTGATTTGAATAAGGTGTTTTATGAAGCCGTTGTAATACATTTTTGGTTGTTTTATTAACATGGAAAGTTTTCAAGAATGTCGAACAACATATTGTGACAGTGGCTGCCTACTTGCCATTCCGCGCCAGTGTTATACCGACACTCGGTGCGGTGGGTACCATAGCCATTACGGCGACTCTATTTTTATACAAACAGATATTTTTTTAACTTTCAAGTGCAAGTTTTGTGTACAAAGGGATTTTTAACTTAAGTGAAAATTTACGGATTTTATACATACACTTCGCTTTGCTGAAATTCGTTTCTAATTGGTAAATATTAGTTTTTTTATTTATTTGTATTATTTTGTTTAAGTCCGCAACTACAAATATTATTATGGTATTGGTATTACCACAGATAACATAATATTACACAGTATTATTATATAGCATATATATACACTGTCTTTGTTATCTATAACGAGTATGTCTAAATCTAGTCTTGAGACTTGCACATACACTTATAAGTCAGTAGAATTATGTGTGTGATACAAGATAATATTCATAGAAACAATATTAATATACAACGTGTACTGTATACTATGTATATAATATATACGAAAAAAAATATATCTGTGTATTTGTATCAGTTGTCTAGTACCCATAGCACAATCTTTAGCTAGCTTAATTTGGGACTAGATGGCGCTGTGTGAATTGTCCTGAGATTATTACTATTATTACACTTTAAACATGAATAGACATCCAATCTATATAGCGACTGTAGTATTCTTTTTTATGTAATTGTAATGACAAAAAAAAAGACAGCCTACCAGTTAGTAAGGGGTACAGTTCATATGCACAGTGAACAGCATCAGAGTACATTACTATACATGTACAGCATCACCATCCAGTAGAGTAATTTATTATATGTGTTAATAAATTCTTAAAAAAAAGAGCTAAATCTTTTGTACGGTTAAAATGGTTTTTATAATTTTCAGTACCTTCATTATTAATGTATATATATTTACCTTAATATAGTATACATAATATTGCATAGTAGTGCGAAGATTCTTTTATAATCATATCAACGATTTTACATAAAATTCTAACAAACAAACTAACAGAAAAAAAATTGAAAAAATGTTTAAAGATTCGGTTCGGTTTCGTACATGTTAATATAATCAATTGCATTTATTCAGTCATTTCAAAATTTAGTATTTATTCGCGTTAGCATAAAATTGAAAAATTCAAAATTTTTCATGTTATTATATACAATCTATAAGATTGTATAACAAAAAATATTATATCATGGTAACGGTAAATATTAAAAAATCCTTAAAGTATTCAATTGGGTTAATATAGGTACTTAATTAATTCTTACCTAATGAGTTTCTATTTAATCATAAATTAATTTGCAATTGAATAAGTGCGTCATACATCATTAAATAAATTAAAATTTATTTGAAATTCACTTCGATTTTGATGACAACCCGGAAAAGGAAAGTCGCATAAAGAAAATGACCTTTATTGAACTGGCTTTGCTCAAGTAATTTGAACCAACAAGTTCGGAACTTACAAATTAATTTACCTTGCATTTCGCATATATTTTATTTTAAGGAAGTGAGAACTTCCTTGTTTTATGAATATGGCAAAGTGGTCATTAAGTAATCTCTGAATATGGGGTTAATAGGCGACATTTAATACAACCAAGTTATAGACTTTGTCTGCGTCAATTTTCCCCCGATTTTACTACATTTTTCAGTACAGTGAAATTTTATATTCGGAGGTATAAGATCTGCTACTATCTAAGTTTTCCCCTAAGTGATAAGGGCTGTCCACCCCTAACATTTATTTTTTATTTTTTGTAAATTTTTTTTATTATATTTTCACTCTTTTACCATGAACCCTTTATTATAATAACCCAATTAACCATAAACCCCATTTTTTAATAGCGATTTTATTGTGGCAAAATAAAGTTTGCGAGGTCATCTAGTAGTCTATAAGATTCTTCGGTAAGGGGACTATGTAAGACATTCTTTCAAAGTTGGTTCGGTAGATCCAGAGATAATCTTATAAGTTTTACCTCTTTCTAATATTAATAGATAGTAAGTATAGATAATAATGCATTAATTGAATTGGATTTCTTTAAATAAGCTGAGCTTTTTTGTAGACCAAAGCTCCGTTCCGAATCTGGAATTGCGTTCACAACAGTTATCCCATACAAATTTTGATTTATAATGTTTTTATTTTGTGACAAAAGAATTGCGAAAATGTTTTGCGATTGGTTTGTAGGTCATCTTGAGCGTAAACTAATCCGAAGTAAATATTTATTATAACATTATTTACAGTGCTACTTAACAAATAGTACTACCTACTTAACTAAAATTGTAATTGTTGAATAAAGAATTTATCTACCTATCTATCTAAAAATAGTGTTAATACTGCTATCCCGGATGGAGTAGTCAGAATTATTTTTAGTTTTGTTATCGATATTTGCTTTCAGGGAGTTAGTCAGAAGTATAATTAGAAATTAATTTTTTTATGTCGACCAGAATAGAACTCTTAAGTATAACTCATAAGTTGTGAACTACTCGATCAACATAAAAAGACATAGGTACATATGTACAAAAAATACTACCGATATATGTTGGACATGTTAGGTGTTCTCGGCAGTCTGCTCTACATGTCCATTGTTTCGTTTTGTTTACAGTTACATAGAGTATCTAGAGTATATCGTATAAATACTTAACATTAATAATGTGAAAGTATCTAAGTCAGTCAGTTACTTTTTAGATAAAGAAGGAATTAATGAAAAATAATATTTAATATACGATTGTGATCTATTCCATTTATATAATCTATACATATAAATAATATTGGAGGGTCTGTTTGTAAGATTGAAATAACCATTTTTTACTACATGCATATAAATATATATATACGGTTCATATACCAAAATAATATTTTTTATAATTTTGTCTGTTTGTCTGTCGGTCTGTTTGTCGGTCTGTTTGTTCCGGCTAATCTCTGAAATGGCTGGACCGATTTTGACGGGATTTTTAAAGGAGTTACTCCTTATTACATCAGCTACATACCAGAAAAAGTTAAAGTTTTAGAAAAATAAAGTTCCACGTGGACGAAGTCGCGGGAACAGCTAGTATTATAAATAAAATAAGTAAAACACAATTAATTTTCATTTTGTATTGTTAGCCTGTTTCGACTTCTTTCAATTTTTCTCATTGTTTCTTGATGCTTCTTGACTGAACCTCTATTTCTAAAATGTATTGAGAATGTACTATATTAACAATTAACGCTACATACGGTTATGTCACAACGTACATTGTAGATGCAATGATACGCTTTCGCCAACGGTATACGAGGTGGAGGATGATAAAATAAGCCTAAAGTGAGGTCAGTAAGCCTTTCTTGACGAACCCACTAGTAATTAAACATGAAGGTTTCCAATGAGCATCGCAGGGAGATCAGGTCTACCCTGACATTTAGGTAATCGTTGCCCCCCCCCCTCCCCTCCCCGCAATCATTTACAAGTGTAGGTTGTCTTTATTTTGCAAAGTAAGTAACTTTGACAATAGAAACTTACTATAATATACTTTTAACGAAATGAAAGCACAGACGGAGTTATTAAAGTGAAAGAGCAACGTTTACTTTCGACAATAGGTATTGTGACTTCTTGCGGTTTTATAATACGTGTGAATTGGCGGTACAGTCGATTTTATAAGTAGCAAACTACTTTTTTTTTTAAATAAAAGCCACCGATTACAGAGATGATTAATTCGTAATAGTGCCTTATTTAAAATTGAAATATATTTTGTAATATGTCAGATTTGTCTCCTATTATTATCTACTATTTCCTTCTAAACACAAAGCTCGTACAGTAGCCTTGTCTCTGTCTCCTACTCGTACGATAATTACTACTACTACTGGGGTAGATACATAAATAGCGGATCAATCACACTTATACAGCTATATATTATTTTGTAAGTAGTGTTGTTCCTCTTTGAAAACCACTCTGCGATAAGGCAGTGAAATACTAAGTCCTACGGCAAGACACGTACCTTAGTATCAATCAGCATCGCATCAGAGTGATCGCGGGTGTCCAAATTTTATTTCGTTGCAATTTTCTTGCTTATTTATAACACATGAAACGTTACGTTAACTTGTTTGCTATTCGGTTACATATAAAAAAATATGTTTTTTTTAATGGTGTACATAATGATGAATTTGTCTTGTAAAGTGATACAGATCTCTTTCGATATTACTAACTATATGTATACATTACAATACAGATTGATTGAGTAAAAATGTATCAATATTGGTGAGATAGGTGTCGGAAGATAAGACTAGAATTATAGTCTCAATTATTAAATAGTAAAGGAAATGGACGATGTACCTAATTCATTAATTCTCTGTCTGTCTGTCTAGTTTCATTTGTACCATCTTATCTGTGGTTGTACACAAGGTAGGTGATACAACACTAACTATTAAGTAGTAAGTACTAAGTATTAAGTAACTACTAAAGAATATATTATTACTAGCTGTGCCCGCGGTTTCACTCGCGTTAAAGTTCAATATAAAATATGGCCTACGTGTTATTTTGATGCATAAACTATGTTGCTGTAAAGTTCATCAAAATCCGTTCAGTAGTTTTTGCGTGAAAGAGTAACAAACATCTATACTCAAAAATTTTCACGTTTATAATATTATTAAGATTAAGGTTTTAAATTGGATGTTAATTGAATTGTATTGTAATTGTGTATTCGCTTGCTGTAACGGTACACTGCCACCAGGGAGGTCAGATAGGGAGGAGGAAGTTAGGTCAGATAGCCCATTAGGTTTTACAGTCGCCAAAAATTCTTTAATTCTTGTATGCAGTTAATATTATAAACTGCATACAAGAATTAAAGAATTTTTAAAGAATTAAAGAATTTATTTAAACCAATAGGTAATAATAACCTAATAATAATTCAGCCCAAATATCGTGCGACCAGCGCTCGTTTTCTTTATTTTAACGTAGGTACATGAACGTTTCAATGTCAACCTTCGGTTAGCTTTATTAGCTAACGGAGAATCCGGCTATTGAGTAATAATTAATTTAAATTTATGTTAACGCAAAACAGATGTAGGTATAATTTTTAACCGAAATAAAGAAGTTCTTAATCCGAAGTACCTACTTTTATTTGATACGACCTACGAATATTTTATTTAGAACCGATTTTGTTGAATCATCTTGATTTATTGACCAAAATGACAAAAAGACCTTAAATTTTAAATTTAATATTACATAACAATAAACTGTGGTTTTACCCGTGTTA